TAATATCTTCATTGGTAGACGGATCATGGGTTGAATTTCCCTTGCTATCAGGCTAACAGTGACCGGGCTTCGCCGCTTCCCTCTCCATGCAACTCAAATGCGGGTTAGTTTTATCAAAAAGTCTCCAACGAAACGAAGGAAAATTTCTCCCAATACTTGATCCAGAAGTTCTCTTGTTTTCTGGATTGGGTTCACAATTACAAGGCTACGGAGTTTAGCCAAAATTGGGTTGTTATAATCGTGAACCCAAAATTGGGTCGGCTGTTCAGCAACCGTTATTGTATATTATATTATCACTACATATAAATATTTAAAACATATTTGTATTATATATTTTTTGAATTGAGCTACGTCATGCTAGCAATTAAATGCATTTGTAGGATTGATAAAAATTCTACAAAACTAATTGTCTATTACTTCGCAAAATCTTCTGTCCAAAGCGGAGCAGTTGACTAATAAATTACCTGTTGAACATTTCATAATCAATTAAAAAATACATTTGTCTACGTATTTGTTATTTCAATACTATTTTAAATACTGTGGAAGTCTTGAATTTTTGAGTTGATTGCTCTGCATGATAATTTTGATGCATACGTTGTATTTTGTACACATTAACATTTATTAATTTATCCCTTGAGACACCAGAACTAGCGGCTATAGTTATCCAAAAACTCTGACAACAACAGAGACTTAACCGGGATTGTGACTTAAATCACGGAATATATAATAAATTTAAATTAAATTATTTCAAAGTGAAGTTGTCACTTTCAAAAATTTATAAAGCATTGTGATTTGAGATAATCTAAATTTCTGTTTATAGATTTTCTCAGATTTTAAATTTATTGTAAATACAGGAGTAAATTTATTGTAAATTAAATGTTTATAATGTCCCGGACCCATTTTGATGTTTAATAACTCATAAAATAATAAAGGTAGATTAAAAATAATAACATAAATGGTTAGATAGACTCAAAAAGTTTCATGAACCTTGTCAATGAACTTCCACGTGTGCCCCTTTCGTCGCACGCAGAATATGAAGTCGATAGTCAATTTCACGCCAGGTAGCGGCAAGCGTTATGAGTTTTTAAACATCAAAATGGGTTCAAAATGGGTGTTTTTGGCATTGTTAATTGCCATCATGTGCGCATATAGGGATCTGAAAACCCCCATGAATACCGTGAGACACAAAGGGATTCCCCAAAGGTTAATGTGTGGTGTGGACTTATGCACGACCGAGTCATTGGGCCTTTCTTTTTTACAGAACAGACGGTTTCATCAGTCGTATACTTAGACATGTTGGAAAACTTCGTATTTCCACAGCTAGAAGAGCTTCAGCCACATGTCTTTTTGCAACAAGATAGTGCACCACCTATCATCGTTCGTAGTTCTTTGAATGACCATTTTCCAGGAAGATAGATTGGGCGAGGAGGTCCAATTCCTTGGTCACCCGGATCACCTGATATAACGCCGCTGGACTTTTTTCTTTGGGGATTTATAAAAGACAATGTTTACAGGAGGATCGTGTCAAACATTGATGACCTAAAAGCCAGAATTACAACCGCAATAGCTTCTGTAGATGCCGACATGCTTGCCGCTACCTGGCGTGAAATTGACTATCGACTTCATATTCTGCGTGCGACGAAAGGGGCACATGTGGAAGTTCATTGACAAGGTTCATGAAACTTTTTGAGTTTTAACCATTTATGTTATTAATTTTAATCTACCTTTATTATTTTATGAGTTATTAAACATCAAAATGGGTCCGGGACTTTATAAACACCCTGTATATTCCAATGTTAGGAAGTTTCAATTAGCAAAAGGGCATTACTATTTGGTATGTAATAAATTATATCACACGAAAAGACGTATTAAAATTTTTCTAATGCAATAAAGAATAAATGAAAATGCGGTAAAAAGCAGGCCTGAAAGGGAGACATTTTTCCTTCCGTGTTCTTAACTACTAGGAAAAACTAATAGAAAAACAATTACGATCATAGAGGAGAGGAAAAATAAGTTAAACTATTCTTAAAAATAAACTATTCCTCATAATTTGGTTTTTCTCGGGTAAGAAGCGGTTTGGTATGCATGCTTTAACTACTAAAAAAAACTTAATATGAACCTTTTTTTCCGTTTGTTAAAAGCTTTTTCTGTTTCTTTGTTGTTATTAAAGATACATTGCCATTTTAGATAATTTTGAGCATTTTCATTTATACAGCAAAATGATTTTTAATGCTTAAATATAATGATTTAACTTAATAATATTTAAATTACAATTATATTTATAAAATTCAACCAATTGTGAAATAAAATGTTTCAAAATAGCTTATAAAATCATATTTAACTAAATTTAATGATTTTTTTGCTTATTTTTTTCTTAATAACTTGAACATTGCAACAAATAAAAATATGACCGTCAGCAAGTAAAAAGGTGAAAGATCAGTCACAACTCATACTAGTATTAAACTTTAGACATTTGTTTGAATATGTCCCAGAAATGGAATTCCGGATAGACCTGGTGCTGCCTTCGCTATACCATATGATTTAAGGAATAAAAAAAGGGAAAAAAAGAAGAAAATACAATTGAATGAACAAGTTACGAAATACAAAGTTTCTTCGATCATTGTAATTAGAAGTAAAGCACAAAGGAAGTGAAGAAAAGCGAAAGAAAATCTGAACAATCAACTCTCTAAATAGTGAATCAAACTTCAAGATATTTACTTTGTTGGACGAGAAAAACGAAACATAGGTCATGGTGGAGGCAGACCATGTTCGTTCCAATCGCAGATCTATATTAGAACAATATGTACATCGATTATTAAAGTGCCAGAAACTATGCAACTTGGACACATCTTTCTATCAACTCCTAGAGTGTCACGTATAAAGGAATCTATTTGGATTTTTCTAAATAACGAAGTAATTAATGCCTCTCAATTTATTGTAGTTTTGTGATGGAATTATGGTATATGTATGGAATTATGTGTTACTTATCTGCTTGAAAAGGGTTCAAACAGATCTACAGTAGATGAAAGGTGAGTTTTACTTATAAAAGCTAGTGAGTATCACTCATAAAATGGTAGTATAGAATTATGAGTGATTTATCTGCTTAAAAGGAGTTCAAAGAGATCTGCTGTAGGTGAAATGTGAGTTTCACTCATAAAAGCTATGATTCATAAAGGCTAGTGAGTTTCACTCATAAAATGGTATATGTATGGAGTTATGTGTTATTTATCTATTTAAAAGGAATTCAAAGAGATCTACAGTAGGTGAAAAGTGAGTTTCACTCATAAACGCTAGTGAGTATCACTCATAAAAGTGAATATGCATGGAATTATGTGTTATTTCTCTGCTTAAAAGGAGTTCAAATAGATTTGAAGTAAGTGAAAGATGAGTTTCACTCATAAAAGCTATGACTCATAAGAGCTAGCGAGTTTCACTCATAAAATAGTATATGTATGGAATTATGCGTTATTTATCTGCTTAAAAGGAGTTCAAAGATATCTGCCGTAGGTGAAAGATGAGTTTCACTCAAAAAAGCTACGACAAAGACATATTATAAATTACCTGAACGCTCCAATAATGAGTAATCCAGGATTTTCCTTAGCAATTGGCAAAAGTTTGGTCAAAAGGCGAACACTTTTCAGAAATAGTTTTTAACGGATTGATGACATATACAACTTTGAAACGTTATAATTTTAAGCAGTAATTTTAAATTTGTTGTGTGTTTTTTTTTTGAAAAATTTCTTCAAAATTTTAAAGCTTTTGTGGGGAACGAAGATGATGCATAAGAAGTTCATGCTTCGCTTCAAGGGTTACAGTTAAGTTACAGTTAAAAAACAGTTTCAATTGGAACATAGATCAATTTTATATTCCATTTTTAAAAAAATTATAGAGAGGTTACAAGGATTTTTTTCATAACCGTCGTTGAAAAGCTGACCCATTTTTGAGTTTACGACTTTCGATGTTCACTCAGTAGCCTCGTAATTTTGATCTAAATTTGGAAGACAAGGGAACTTCTGCACTGTGAGAAATTTGCCTTCGTGAAGGACTTTTTGATGGACATCCTCATTTGCATGGCGAGGAAAACCGCGAACTCTCCCAGGGTTAGCCTGATGGCGAGAGTCTGACACATGATTTGTCTACCACTGAAGATATTTTACGTCAGCGATGTGATCGGTGCAAGCCGGATGTGGAGTTCGGGTCGAACAGCCATCGCGGGGATATAAACTCGGTTGACCTCATTGGAAGAAGAACTCTCTATCCTCTGAGTTACCACGGCTCAGGTTTCAAGGATTGATAAAAATAATGGAAACTCTTTTAATTTCTATGTGAAATTTTGTTTTAGCAATAAATGTTTTGGAAGATTTTATATGGCGAAACTGTTGAGCCAATCATTCTTGAATCTTTTAGAAATAATGTTCTTTTTAACCACGCGAAATTTTCATCGACCAAAATGAGCGAAGGAAGTTTAAAAGTTCTTTCCTTCTTTAATACCACTATAACTCTAAAAGCATTCTTATATAAATGTAACAAGCCTACATAACGGTTTCAAAATTGCTAGTTTTAAATTTGGAAAAAAAGTTCTTTACTTCTTATGCTTCCTACGATTATTTTGCATGATTAAAATTTTGCATGGGTAAAAATGACACAGTTCCTAAAAGCTTCAAGTATTGATCTTTCAAATTCTGCCAACACTTTTGACGTGTAATATCTTCCGAAACGCTTGCTACTCAAAGAAAAAAATGTTTTCATGGAGTTAGTATAGACGTGTTTCCATCATTTTGATGAACTCTTGTATTTGCTAATCTGAAATGCTTGATCGACGACCAGTGGATATTTCGCAACCTGTAAGATAGTGATTCTTAAAATAATTAGTAATGAGTCTGTAAGAAAAGAGTCCTATAAGATAATGTTTTTGGTGTTGAGAAAGAATGCTAAAGAATTAGCATAAAGATATTCTAGGATCAACAAAAGTCTATAAATGTTATACATAAATAATTTACCTATAATGCAAAAAGGACTTCGTAAATATCTAAATCTTCCAATCCATCCCTGATACCTGGATCTGCAACCTGCAGACCAAAGTCTTAGGAAGAATTCCATAGTGAACCAAACGACCATCACAATTTCCTGAAAACAAAATCATTATTTTAAAGTCAATCGTTTACAATAATTTTTCCTTAAAATTTATGTAATACGACAGTTTTATTAAAATCATGTTCATAAAATTTATTGACACGTTGAATGCCATAGGGGTCACCGGTGACCGCCACTGAGTTTGTTCGTAGCGCCCCGGGGGTCACCTGTGACTGGCTAAGCCAAGATTATTAGAAACACATAATTCGAGTAAATTTTTAATTTTTTTTATATTATTATCGTTACAAAAATGGTTTGAAGAAATTAATGGAATATACTAGAACACACAGAAATAGTTTTATTTATATACACAGAGATGTCAACTTGCTCCCGACAACGAATAAATATTTTCAAGTGGTAGTTTATGAATTGTGATTCTTGGTTTAATAAATTCAATTTAGTAGATTTTATCCACTATTATTTCTAAACAATTCGTAGGCTTATATAATGCACCACTTTTTTCAGATATATCATTCTAAACTTTTTAAAAAACTAGCAAAATTTGTCTAATTTTTGCAGATTTATTTTGTAGTTATTTACCATTGTGGCCAGACGGGCAAGCAATGTAAAATTAGCGTGGCATTCAATCTGTTAAGTGACATTGTTACTATTTCATTTATTTTCTATTTTCCTGTTAGTCATAATAACTCAATAGCATTTGAGGATGAATGAAACTCGTCAGGCCATTGTTTTGAATAAATAAAAAAAAATGGTGGCAAAAGTATATTGCTGTTACTTTATTTCAAAAAGAGATATTGCATTGATAATTATTCCTTCATAGAAATAAAAGTGTAGGTGGGTATCAAATTTGATTTTTTTATCTAATTGTCTGTATAAAAAGCCTTCAAATTTGATAATAAGGAATTAAAAAAAGGTAAGATTTAAGGAGTTAAAAGTGTCTAAAGCTGGTTGCAAACTTGAGTACAAATTCAATCGATTGCAAATAATGATAAAAAATACTAGTATCTGTTTGCCGTATCTTATTTTAAACTTACTATACGACCAGCTTGCTTCTGAGTCAAATAGAAAGCACTAATAAATGAATAAAATAATTCATAAAGCATATTAATGATGTCACACTTGTTTTCGACATTTGGGACCTCATCCTCACCTTTTTGTCACAAAGTGTCACACAGCAGTGAATCCCCCCTCTCCCTTTGTCATATTTCGCTCAATATTAANACACAGTTTAGAGCAAGCTGCTCAATTTATTTTTGATTCCTTTTTAGTTATTCAAGTAAAGAGCTTGAAACACTCATAAAAGCAACTCCATTGCCTGCTTACCTCATTGCTCAACCAAAACTGTTCAAAAATTCCAGATGAATGGGATGGGGGTAGCTTCGCGGCCCAGGTGCCCAATAAAATCTAAACACTAGGACTAGGACTCACACATGTTAAGCTAAACCTTTTAAGAACGAACAAAATCTGACTAATTTGCAAATTTAGTTTGTAGTTATTTACCGTTTGGCAAGACGGGCAAGTCATGCACAATTAGCGTGGCATTCAATGTGTTAAGTAGCATCATTACTATTTCATTTATTTTCCATTTTCCTGTTAGTCATAATAATAACTCAATAGCATTCGAGAATGAGTGAAACTCGTCATGCAATTGTTTTGAATAAATAAAAAAAAGGTGGCAAAAGTACATTGCTGTCATTTTATTTCAATAAGAGATATTACATTGATAATTATCCCTTCGTAGAAATGAAAGTGTAGGTAGGTATCAAATTTGATTTTTTTAACTAATCGTCTGTATAAAAAACCTTCATCTTTAACCAAAAGTTTAATATTCGTTTTAAATTAGCTGTTTCCGGTATTTAAATAAATTTGATATTAAGGAAATAGGGATGCTGACTTGCTCCACTTTGTCAAAAAATATTTTCTAATCTTAACGAAATTCAAGTTATTTTTAATTTTAAATAATTTTTCAACCACAACGCACCAAAATTTAAAATATCATATGAAATGCAACTTGATAGCAGTGATCGCGTGGTGACATTTTTAAAAAGTAGGCGTAATTATCCTTATTCTACAAACTTTACTATTTAATTCGCTACCAATTTATTAAAACTTTTGCAGAAAGTGGAGCAGTTTGATTTCCCGCTGTTGCGAATTAATTTTTTCAATGGTAATGAACTAAAGTATAATATTTCAAGACAAACAGGTTTGTAAAAAATGAACAGAAAAACTTAAATATTCGCCTATATGACTTCATACATATATGTTTAAATTAATTGTGTTTTGTGGTGAACAAAATTATTTTTATTCTAATTTATTAAAACATAAATATATTACCTTTGCTACCAATAGGAAAAATATTTTCTGATATTACGAAAAATCCGTACTAATTAGAGCCTCAGTTAAAAATATAAAGAATTACCACTTTATTTAAAAGTTTGAGTAAACCCTACTTTCACGTTAAAACATATCAGTCGTATTTTATTTTAAACTTACTATACAGCCAGCTTGCTTCTGTGTAAAATCGAAAGCACTAATAAATGAATAAAATAATTCATAGAGCATGTAAATGATGTCACACTTGTTTTCGACATTTGGGACCTCATCCTCACCTTTTTGTCACTAAGTGTCACGCAGCAGTGAATCTCCCACTTCCCCTTTGTCATATTTCGCTCAATATTAAGCAAACAGAAATAGAAACATGTTATCGATCACATTTCAGATATTAGTTTTAAACTCTAACTGTGGCATTTGCGAGTATAACAATAATAAATATTTTAAGCGTACTTATCTCGCATTAAATAAGGTTTACAACAAAAACATAATTAAATATACATAATTAAGAGCAATTGAAAAGATTTAAGATTAATTATTAAAGACTAAGACTAATTTAAAATTCTATCAGCATAATTTTTTTGGGAACAGAATGTAATGATGATGATTAATGAAATGATAATTTGAATCAACTGATTCGAATCAGTTGTAAGTTGGTGATTCGAATCACCGAATCAGTACCCAACTCTTGAACATAGCGAAATCATCAAAAGAAAACAGCCTTTTTTCATCATTTTAAACTAAACTTAAGTTTGTAAAAATATAAAAATTAATTACAAATATTAAACCTGCTGTTTTTAAATGTTTTTATTCTAATCAAAAATGAGAAATGCAGTGCTGCCAACTTTCTACACTTCTTGGGAAAATTTCTTCTAGTGGTAGCTGGATTTATATTTTAATGTATCATTATTTGTTTGTTAATTTGATTTAAAATAATTTTCTACACCGTTACATGCAAATGATTCACATGTTCATATGAAACCCACTTTGATCTAGCTCTATCGCGGTAATGCGCTTAAAATATTGTCAAAAAATTTAAATATTTTGAAGGCTCTAGATTTTCACCGTATACAGTTCTATAATGTATTTTGCATTGTAGCCATTGGTTGCTCTAACAGGGATAGCACAGGCGATTAAAAATGTAAAAAGTTGTAGAATTCAATTCATTTTTATGTGTTTTATTATCTCTTTAATTATTTAATCGTAACTATCACTATGACTTACTTTTACAAATATTCATACTCAAAGCAAAAACATTCTTTGCTTTCACATTCAGTAGCAAACTAAAAATAATTTGCTAGATTAAATTGCTAACATTAATCTTTGTTAATAAAGTTTTGAATTTCATTAGACACCACTTTTTTTATTTTTAGTTGACCGAGGCAACACTGCTCTAATAATACCTCAAATGAAAGAATAAATATTCTACTTAGTGAAAGTTATTTAAATTTAGGTGTTAAAAATAGGTAAATGCACAATTGTTAAAATTAGCTTTGTTATTATTATTTTGAATATTAAAAAACTACTAGGTGTCACATGTCAATTTAATAGTACAGATAAGAATAAATAAATAAATAAAAAAATACTTAAAAAATTCTGCACCAAATATATTTGGAAACTTTTATTACTTGCTGACTTTAGACATTCGATTATTACCATTCTTTTATTAATTTCAATGCATACATAAAATCAATCCTTTAAACTGTATCTTAATCCCTGGAAAATATTGTAGATATGAACAAGTTACTGTATAAAAACGCAGAAATTAAATACTAAATTTAAAATCAAATAAAAATCAAGTTGAATATGAGAGAAATAACTAAAATAAATTTAAAATTATGATATAACAAATGGTTTTGTTATCAATCAACTACTATTTGCAGCTGCTTTAACCCCTTGGGGACGGGTGATTCAGAAAAGCATTCGTACAAAATCAGAATCAGGATGCAATTAAATAAAAAACGGTAACTTAAATGTAGTCGTTTCTAATTTGAAGGACTTACTTTGCTTTTACTTTAATTATTGTTAGTTTAATCATATATATAATCAATGTTAATTCAAAATATAGCTAAATAGTTTTATTTTGAACAAAGAAATGGTGAATAAAATAAATCAAACAAGTATAACTCCGCCCACAAATAAACTGCTAAAGAATTACTTTGATTACCAGTTTTATCTTTTTACCCTGGTTGATACGGTTTTATGCTGTCACGTATTTGTGACAGTCGGCGCGAAAGGGTTAACGAACTATAATTTATTCCAGTGTACTGAAAAGGTGTCTTATGCAAAGCAAAAAAAAAAAATACATACTTCATTTTCACTAAAGATCCTCTGTTCATTTTTATACACTAATGAACAACAATTTCATGAATGAACTTGCGCCGATTTTTGACCTCTTGCATCAAACCAGTTCTGCTCAATGCATCAACTGCAATTCATTCATAGAATTGCAGTTGAATTAATGTTAGGGACGGTCAAAGAAGTCAAAATAACTGAACTCATTCTCTAGGAGTGGTAAAAAAGTGCTCAACCACCATCCTTAAGAAGGATGCAAAAAATTATAGCATTGATTCTTTCACCGCATTAATTTGCAAAAATTTTTGAAAATTAAACTACAATGCTTGTTGCCGTTCAGCAAAACTGCTTGATGAAGCCAAGCGAATTTTAAAAGCAAAGGGTGCGTTTCTTGTTTTTCTGTGGCT